ATGGGAACCATGCTAACGTGCTGTGGAGCCCCCACCACAGATTCACACAATTTGCGGGAGCTGGTCACACTTTTCAGCTGACAACACTGTAGAAATCTCCGTGAAAATACAACAGAAAGTGTATTAGCCTTTGCTATTTGAATAAAATCCATCACAGTTATGAGTTGGTCTCGGGTTGCTGTATTATCCCCTTTAGTGTCTTACTCCCATTTCGGCTACTTTCTTAGAGCAGAACTCGTTACAGCAGTTACTCATTAGTAGCATGGATGATATGGGAAACAAGAATGTTGAAGTTGTATTGAATGTGTTCCAGATGTTAGTATCAAACAAGGTTGGGTCTGCATTAAGATTTCCTTTAAAATATTATTTGGAAGTGGAAAATAATTCAGTACTAAGTGATTCTCTAGAATCCTAAATTCACTAAGCATTTGCCATCGTAAAACATGTACGTAACAAGCAGTTCTTATAAAACTACCTAACCTACTTTCTGTCTTCGAAAGGCTTTGCAGATATTACGCAACTAAAATTTGATTGTGGTAAGAGCCGGGATTTGCTAACAAGACTAAATGGCTGCATGGCCCAAAGCTAAACAAAAGCCCAGCGATGCACGCTTACCTTGTCGGCAGAGAAGGCACTAAAAGCTCGTAGCCACGCTGGGATGTGTAAACTGGAAGATACTTTGGACTCTTAAGCACCAGTTTGATGGGGATGAGATGCAAGAGCGTATCCGTACGGGTTTGGAGCTGATGAGGCAATGTTGGTACGTGAATTGGCTGAACTGGCCCTTAAGCGGCGACGATGCTGAATTTTGGCAAGATGTTGGTGTCGCCGATGCAGATGGGGTTGGCAGGAATGGGATGCAGGGCTGGAGGAGGAAGCCAGCAGAGCCCGATCCCGGCATTTGTGCATGGCAGAGCAGCTGAACAGTAAAGCCCAGGCAGGATGAGGCTGTGGTTTTGTGTTGGCTTTCAAATACGAGCAGGCGGTGCGGAGGTGATAAGCAATCAGATTAGGAGTGTCAGAGAAAGGGCTTGCTGCTTGGGGTTGTGGTTTTTTTTTCAGAGTGGTAAATATGCACTTTGTAGGATTTAAACTACTTAGGGAAAGTAACCAGCTTTCCAGTCAGAGGAAGATAAGCCAGAGGGGTCTGTGAGGAAGGCAAGAAGAGTGAGAGCAGCTAATTTGGAAAGAGGAGAGCTCTTGCTGCTGCCACGGCAGCGACAGTGCCTCGAAGTGGCACCTACTTGCCTTCAACTGGGCCAGATCTGCAGGTGCGCTGGGTGCTGCTGGGAAGAAAAGTTGCTCATGAATGTTTAGCAAACGGCTGAGGCAGCGCTGGATGTACGCAGCGTAAGAATAGACTAAAATACAGCATCAAAGGAGAGAAGGTGGCAGAAAGGACTTGTGTCAGGTATAGGCTGAGCATCAGGGGACTTTGCCACCTAGAAATAAGTTTTCCTTCTGCTTGGCGCTGGCTCCAGGCGTGCAAGCCTATGCTGGGCACGGCGTGACACATGGTTTAGTAGTTGGGGAAATACGTGATTTTCAGTGCATGAGAGTTGCTGTTTGGTACTGCCAGTGCATTTAAGAGAAATAATATGCATGAGAGTCTTGAGTTCCTAGGGAGGGTAGTACGGGCCCGGGACATAGCTGCACAAACACCTGTGTGACACTCAGCAGAAATAAAATGTCTGGAGTGACCCCTCTGCTACTTATCCTGCCGTCCCTCCTTGTATGTGGGCAGTCTTACCACATACGTGGTCTGAGTGCAGCGGAGCCAGCCTCCAGTAGATGGTCTGGTCTGCCTAAGGAGCCCTGCCTAAGGAGCCCTGCCTAAGGAGCCCTGCCTAAGGAGCCCTGCCTAAGGAGCCCTGCCTAAGGCGCCCTGCCTGGTACAGCCACGCGGGCTCGCTGCCAGCAGGGTGATGGGGTTTCTGCAGGAGATCTGGCCTGCGTCCAGCCGGGCCGGAGCGCAGGCAGAGCAGGCATGCCTTGGTCTGCCCTTTGCTGTGCAGATAAGCTCAGCTGCGCACGGTTATCCAGGATGTGAACTCCTGCTCCCTCCGGGAGTATTTCCGTCTTGCATGTCAAACAGAGCAGAGGGCCTCGAAGGAAGGGCTTGCTTAATGCGCGCTTGAGTTGCCAGCGAGGGAGGGAGTTACAGACGGCCTGAATGTACCAGTCGCTGTCTTCTTATGGATGAGTCCTTGTAGGAAGTGAGGGGAAAATCCAGATGTCTTCTCCCTTAATGTGGCAAATTTGTACAGAATAAAGACCAGACAAAGGCTAGAGCGGAGGACTGGGAGATGTACTGCATGGAAATAGGTGTTCACAAGGGAATCCATCTGCTGAGAGGGAGGTATTGGCTCTTTCTCTGGAACCTTTGCTAAGGAAAGCACATGGTTTCTTGTCAGCAACTCCATTTCTATCGTGTTCAGAGTCTTATACCTTGTTCTTCTCGTATGTGTGTTATGATAGAAGCATCTTAAATGTCAACTCCATTCTGGTCTGCAAGAAGTGATTCCATGAAGAAGCACTCCTTGGCTCTCACTTTGTTCCCCAGCCCAAGAAACACATGTGGAGTTTAGAAATGCTCTTTGTGCAATGTGGTCTGCTGCAGGACTTGCACATCAGTGGCTGGGCTATTGATTAGTAGGTTCTCTGGTCTGCACTTTTACATCAGGAAAATGAGACCTGTTGGCTGGTTGTGTCATTGTTACAAATTCTAAATATTTCTTCAACTGTTAAAAAGGCCAACTTTTTTATAGTTGTTTGGGGTTGTTGTTTCTTTAAACTGAGTATCATTGCTTAGGCTGGTCCGATTTTGTATGTGTGTTCTTAAAAAGGAATTAAAAAACCCTCAAATAAACCTCAAATCCTCCAAGCTGGTGGTCAGTGCTACTACCAAACTCCTCATCTAGAGAGCAGAAAGTTTGTTTATCCTCTGTACCCCAAGCACAGGCATGCGTAATTTATGCCTTGAGCATCGCCTTTAACAAATATTCCTGTTCTGGGGAAGCTGGCAGGCTACGCACTATGCACCGGTGGGTCTCAGGAATGGCCCCTTTGGCAGGAGAAGGCACGCACGGCCCGAGGCACTGCGGGCATCTCCCTGCGCTCAAGGGCTTTGCTTTTTCCAGATAAAGTCTGGTTTAAGATGGATTCTCTGACTTCTAAATGGCCAGCTGCTGTGTCTTGAGTGAACTGACTTTTTAAGCAGCTAGCATAATTAATCAGTGCTAATATAATTAAACATACGCGTACACCAAAGCCAACTGATCTTTAGTGCTGCAATAGCTGGATGTAGACTTCACAAAACCAGGCAGAGCTCTGCCGTTTGATCAGCTGAGGGTTGTCTTTCATTTTGAACTTTTTTCAAAAGAAGAATTTTCACCGAAAGGGCTGTCAGGCACTGGAAAGGGCTGCCCAGGGAAGGGGTCGAGTCCCCACCCCTGGAGGGATTTAAAAGCCGTGTAGCTGTGGTGCTTAGGGACATGGTTTAGTGGTGGGATGGCAGGGTTAGGGGAACGGTTGGACTTGATGATCTTAAAGGTCTTTTCCAACCTAAACGATTCTATGATTTTATGATTTTGCTTCAGCTGCATACGTACGCTGTCTGGGGAAAAAAAAAAAAAAAAAGATGGTGCTTCTAGCTTATATTTCTCTTCTATGCCTTGCAGCCTCTGAACTGACGGGTTCATGTGAGTGTAACTCTTATCTGAGTGACTTCGGTGCAAATTAGGGGTTAAGTCAATTAACGTTCTCCTGTGACCCTCTGAATCAAAACCATGCTGTATCTGTTACTGTCAGGGGTGGGTTTGAGCCGTTCTGGAAAAGCAGGGCTGCTTTTCGTAAATATTTGTCTTGCTTTAGTTTCCTGAGATATAGTTTAAATGTAAACCGTTCCGTATGTTTCAGCTTTTGTGCTATCTTGCTGTATCACATCACACTGTCTCACGTACTATATACGAGCATGGCACTACATCATGCTGTGGGGATTATTTGAAAGGGCGTACACTCTGTTTTGGACTAGATATCTGTTATCGGTATAGATAATTGCTGTCAGACACAAAATAGACTCCGTAAACAAACATTTCATTTTATCATGTGACAGATGCCTGCTGCTTTGTACAATGTATTTGAACGATGTTCACTATAAATCAGCACTGCTTCAAAAGCAACAAATCCAACTCACCCAAATCCTTCCTGATGTGTAATTACTTTATACTAGAGATTAACTTTTCATTGTTATATATACAGGATTGCATTTTTCAGTGTTTGGAGATAACAATGTTTGACATAAACAAATAATTCACATCTAAGATGAACCAATTCCTCCTACCGCTATCACTGCTTTGTTTTTTCTCCTTTGGTTTTTTTTTTTGGCTTTTTTTCCTCTTTTTTTTTTTTTTATCCTTGGGTTTCCTCCCTGGTAAAGACAAGACTACCTTCAGTTTTAGAATTCATACTTTAAATTTAGACTTTCAGAGAGAAATGAACCAATGAGTTAGCATATTGCAGAATCCCAGAATGGCAGGGGTTGGAAGGGCCCTCTGGAGATCACCCAGTCCAACCCCCCTGCTCAAGCAGGCTCACCCAGAGCAGGGTGCACAGGACATCGTCCAGGCGGGGTTTGAATATCTCTGGAGAAGGAGACTCCACAACCCCCCTGGGCAGCCTGTTCCAGGGCTCGGTCACCCTCAAAGTAAAGAAGTTCTCCCTCATATTCAACTGAAACCTCCTATGCTTCAGTTTGTGCCCATTGCCCCTTGTCCTGTCGCTGGGAACCTCTGAGAAGAGTCTGGCTCCATCCTCATGATATCCATATTCAGGAGAACTTAAAAGGGCAATGGAAATAAATGGTTTCATTTTGTGGATAATGAACATGAAGCCTCTGCGTGTCTTCCTGTGGGTTTTGTGACCAAAAGGATGGTCATTATTTCACAGGTGTAACCTATGTATTGCTTTTTTCTTCAAATGTTCTGTGTCTTCCTCTGCAGGTCCTGTGCCCAGGAGTGAATGTGTCTTATCGCCCGTTAACAATTCGCACCCAGTCCGTGCCTTACTGGAGAGTTTTACAGTCCTATCCGGCTGCGCAAGCCGAGGCACGACAGCCCTGCCGCAAGAGGTGCACGTCCTCAATCTCAGAAATCCTGAGGAGGGTCTTGGCCATCATGAAAGAGAGGTAAAGGGGAAACTGCTTTTCTTCCAGATCCCTCGCTCCGAGTGTGTCTGCAAATGGGATTGTTCTATGTTAATTTGATGAATGAAGTTATTTCTGACTTGTGACCAGAAAGACTACGAAGAAGCACACGCAATTTGCGTAGATACCATCCACCGACGCTTTGCGTGTCGTATGAGTAAACCACTTCCATAGCCAGCCACTCTCTCCATCACCTTTCGCAACCACAAAGTGTACTTAAAAAAGGTGGCGGGGTGGGCAAAGGAAATGAGAAACAGATTTAGATCTGCAAGAGGCCTTTACAGAATTGGCTGTCTTCAGAAGCGGGTCGTTTACCTAAATGTGTTGTAAATTAACATGAATACCTTTGGATCCCTGCCATGACCACTATAAACAAATATTTAAGTTCAGATTCTTTTACCCCTGTAATACATCCTTAATGCTTCGCTGAGGGGGGGGACTGCCATGCAGAAAGCAACCGTTGCTGACTATGGTGGTACTTAAACAGAGTCCAATTACTTATTTATGTACGTTGCACTCGGAGGGACTGGCAAGAACTTCAGCTGCTCTGAAAGCAACAGCACAAGAAGAGAATTTTTGATGTTAAGTTGTGCAGTACTGTTGTTTACTCTGAACACACATCAAAACAGAGTGCTGAAGTGAAAAGAAAACATTGCCTGCCACGACAGCTGAGCTGCTTAGTTCATGTTCTTACAGTATTAGACACACAAAGCCTTAGTACTGCGTCCTGAGAGCGCGACATGCAGGTACGCAATTAGCAGAATTTGTAATGAGGGAACAAAGATGACGGTCTAGCAGGCGGAAGCTTAGAAAAAGAGGGTCTAAATCTGTGCTGGAAGAACTTTTAAGTGGAGTCTTTTATAGTGATTTAAATAAAGGCAGATACTCTTGGCCATAATCAAAGTCTTTCCACTGACTTCAATAGCAGCCTTGTTGGGTTTGTGGTGTGTTCAGCTCAGTGTGTAATGTATGCATCCATGAAACTTCAGCTGTTGTGTTCATTTTCAGTATATACACTGTCTGAAATGTCTTGTGTATGATGAAAAAGTTATTTACTATTTTTTCAGGAGGCATCTCTTTGGCTGCCCTTACTCAAAAATGTCAGGTCTTCTTCAGTTCAACTGTCATGAAACAAGTAGAAAAATTACACTTTTGGGGGGGGGTGGGGGGTGGGGCTGGGACTGTTTTTAAAGCCTTTCTTAGCTTGCCAGGCACTGGGTTATCAATCTGATGAGTGCACTGTGAATGCCTGAAGAAAGCGTAGGTACAACCAGTTCCCTCTTGTAACTTCTTAGTTACTGAAGGATGCCCAGGGATGAGATGAAGCAGGCTACAGCTGCGGCTTGTACCTCCCCAGAGACCAGAATGAATCAACTGCAAAGCGCACATTTGCATAAACCCAAATTTCCCTCTGGTTCGATGCTCGTAGCACTACTTGCGTAACAGTGGAGTCTCCGCAGTTGTGCGCACACACAATGTGAGCTAGAGCCATGCATGCACGGGGTCGCAGGCTGTGCCACTACAGTCTCATCATCTTGACAGAATGATAGAAGATTTAAATATTTGGCATTGAATAAAAGTAGTTGCTGTCTAGCAGAAAGAGGCTGCTTGTGCCTCCTCTAACGGGCTTACGGTAAGAAAGCACTTTGCCCCGAGCCGTCTTTTCTCTGTATGTCTGCGGTACGCCAAACTGCAGGGCACAGAATATATTGCACTATTTGTAGCCCTTAGCCTCCTTCTCCCATCTCCCAACCAGTTTCCAGTCACAGCCCTTGGAGATGGCTGCTCTAAAAACGCACAGGAAGCCGGAGCAAGGCTTGCTGGCGACAGTGTCAAGCAAAAGAGCGTAAACAACTTGGAAAGATCGGATTTTACTTATAGGATCAGACTTGGAAAACAAAGCAGAGCAAATGTTATCTTTTCCATTATTGTAAAAACCAACTCCAAGTGGCCTTTTGTCTTAAAGTAGAATGCAGCCATCACCTCAAGTTAAATTAGCTTGATTTACCAGCTGAGGTATTTCCTGTTGCCTGCAAATGCTGATAGCAAAGGTAGAGAAGTTTGTCATACAGTATTTTCAGTAGGCTCCAGAACAAACCCAGTGTTTTTGTTTGACAGTACGTTAGATTCAGCAGCATTGAAAGCATGCTTAAAATAAGTCATGCATTTGTTCAGAGGTTGGCCGAAGTTCTGATAACATGGAATGCGAGATCTGAAAAAATCTTTAAGTGAAGGCTTGCTTTGGGGGAGGAGGTCAGGTTTTGTTTTGGTTTTAACCTGCCCTATGCTAGATGCTGCTAAATTACACATTCCTTACTTGCCGGGAGGAGTGTAAACTTCCCCTAGCAAATTCCTGGGAGGGCTTATGCATTAAACATACTTGTGCAGTTATCCTGGTTTTCATAAATATGCAACATCCATGTATGCATTAATTTAACTCACTTTGACACTTGTGTAGAATATACAGACAACAAGCGTTCGCAAATTTAAACATAGGAGGGGTGGCTGATGGGGGGGGGGAGGCATGTGTTCCTTCGGTAATGTGCAGGCTTTTCTGTAAAGATTAGTAAGGTTTGGGTGCTTTTTCTTCCCTGTAAACTGGAAAAAAAATGGAAATGCATGGGATTATGAATTCTGAACAAAGTTCGCAAAACTAAATCAGTAATTTTGCACTTTCATGTAAAAGCTGAAATCTGGTAAATACAAGATCATACTGTGAAATGCTGTAATCGTACCTGTGATCTTCAAGGCATTTGTATTTTACTTCGTTAATCCCTGTTGGGATGACATCTCATTTGCTGAGACTGAGATAGTTTCTTCAAGTAAGAATCCCTGAAATTCCAGTCTTTTTCAAGTATTTCTTAGAAATGGCTTTTATCTCAATTCATATTGGCCGTGCTTTATCATAGGAAATAGAATACGGGTGCATGTAATAGCCACAAGTGTTTATATTGAACTTGGCATGAAAAAGGCAAGCCCTTTTTGTTTGTTTTATTTCATCAAATATTCCTGGGGAAGTGAGTGCGTGTGCGCATTTCTGTGCTGATCTGGGTCTCAGCTGAAAGCCAGGAACTACTGAACTCTTACAATAACTTTCTCTTCGGCTTAGGGTATCCACTGCTACGGGTCCCCCAGTTTTTAGAAGGGAGATAGTTACTTTCTCATGGAGCTGCTTGTTCTGTTATTGAGAAGGAATTGTTTGTGGAGGCACTGGGAAACTCTAGAGATTTGCACCAGGAAAATGGGTGTAGAAAAACGTAAAAACTATTTTAGGATGAAAGTCACTCCTTATGTAAGTATATTATCAAGTCCTAAATTAATGGAGGATTTTATTATACCTGTCAGCTGAATTTCCCTGAGCTGCCTCAGGCACGCAGCCACAATTGAAATAGCTAAAGGGGGGGCAAGGGCATATAAAATTAATCTCATGTGAATACTTAGGATTGAATACATGTGAATACATGGAATCAGAGTTCCTGGCAATGGATTCACTATTGTTTTCGTTGACATCCTCATCCTCCACAGCTTTAAGATGTTATGCCCAATACAGATGTTTAACATGTGTTATGCGAAATGAAGGCAGGAAAATCAAGGGCTCATCTTTATTTTTATAATTTTGAGTAACGCCACTGAGGCTGTAATAATTTCGACAGACTTTTTTTCCCCACTCCTTAATCAGTGTTACTTGGCAACAATTTCATAATAAAAAAAATATTTTTGAGCGCAAACCTGATATTAAAATGCTTGTTAGATCCTGGGGGGAGGGCTAATCGTAATAGCCAGGTACTTACTGGCGATGCATCTCAGGTTCCTGAGCCGGCCCACTTAAAAGTCATAAAGTGATGGGCAAAATTATTGAAGTCCAATACTTACTTTCTGAAGAGATCCTCTAAGCTGTAAAAATGGGACAGGAAAAGGCTCTGATGAAACAGTCACCTGATAACATATTTCTACATCCGGACCTTTGCAGTGCATCCTGAATTCAGGATAATCCTTCTGTGTCACAGTGGGTTTGTATTTTAGGACTGTGAAGATCTGGACAATGAGGGTGATGAAAACCTGGTTAATTTGGCCTCTCTTTCTACGTATTTACTGTATTTCCCAGTGCGTTCATTTTAACTATTCTCAGAAGTTTAACACCACCACCACAGGCTCACCCAAGGGAAAAATGTTTTGTTTCATGCTCAAGCATCCAGAGATCCCAGGACAGCCTTGAGATGCAGCTGTGATAAGGGACCACTTTCTGGGCATGGTTTGAGCTTGTTGCACCAGAGCTGTGGTCAGAGGGGGCCTGGAGGTCTTGCGCCGAAAGCAGGCAAGAAGGGAATTCAAAGTTTGTTATTTGATGGCTGGAGTTGTCACCTTATCATTTGTTTGGTTCCATCTTCCATTTCTTCCTCTAAAAGTGCATTTCTTAAAATAAGTTTCCATTTAGTACCAATCAAATGTCCCTGTAGGTTGTTTTGTGAGACTTGAGGATCTCGGGTACAGTGAAAATAAGGTCAGCTTCTTTTTTCACCGTGGTTTTTAGTGCTGAGCTTTCAGAGTCAGCCTGACCAGCTGCTCTAAAACTGACAAGTTTTAATTTTTGAAGCATCCTGCAGCATGGGCTTAATCCATATTAAAATAATTGCATTATTGTACTACGCAGTCCTAAATTCATACTAAAATAAGAGGCTCAAGAATAAACAGTTTGTTACTTCTGTGAGATTAAACTTTTGAGTAAGACTGCACTCTTCCCCACCATTAATACTGGATCTGTGCCCTGCTGGATCACTTGGCTGTACAAATTCAATGTTTCTGGTGAGCTGACCAGAATATGTGGTGCAGAATTTAGGCTGGGAAATAAAGGACACGTTGCTTGGTTTGCCAGGCTGCGTTAGATTTGCCCTCTGCTCATTTACTGTGGTCCGGTGGGAAGCCTACGCTGCTGCACTTGGGTATGTTTGGTACTTCTGGTAGGCCAAAGGATTTTGTTTTGA